AAGACCATGATGAGTCTCTGATGAACTGTCTCAGTTCCTTTAGAAGCTTACCTGTCCCTGTTTTCATTCTGTTCTTCAGTGCTTGGCACTTTTTTAATTTATTTTCTTCATATTTATGCTCATATTATTAGGTATAGACAATGTAATATGATTCATTACTTTTTACTACTTAAGCTATCGATAACGTGTACAGGTTTTATTCTCTGAAGAAACGATTTCCATGGAGTAGCAAAACGTCAGAAATATATTTTTCTACTTCATTGTGACTTGACAAGTATATATTTCATTTAGAAACTTATGAAAGTTTATTAAGTATAATCTTCAGTTTAGCAGTAATTATTCAATCGTACTTTTATTCAGGGGAATGTCATTTTCAGAGGTAAACAATAGTTTATGAGACTCTATTAATTTTAAACTAATCAGAGTAAATGTTTCATCCATTAAGCTAAGAAATCTGGATTTATCAAGTATATGAACTGTATAATAAATTTGAAAAGGTCATCAAGTGATTACGAAGTTTCAGCTTTATTTGTCCGTCTAGTACCAGAAAGATTTTAATGGATGGCAAGTAATCAATTTAGTCTTTGAAGTTGTAAATGCTTCATTTACACTGTTTTTGTAATTTGGTCAACAGATATGTATAACGTGTAAAGTTGAATATATTTGAAGTCAGTATAATTCATTGTGAGTAGATTACTACGACAATGAGGAATGACTTCAAGCATTTCGCTTGAAGTACTGTTAACTCAATTTTATTTTTCATATTTTCCAAGACTTATGGGATTGTGAGAATTTATTGTTTTCAAGGTAGTTTTTATCATTGACTGAAATCAATTAGAGGAACTTTTGAAAACTGTGAGCATTAAACAGCTGTTTCTTCTCAGTATAGGATTCCTCAGTAGTGCACACCCATGAACCCATTCTGCAACGGATCATATCTAGGATCTTCAGGTTTGCTGGCTAGCACGTTACTATTGAGCCATTGAATCGAAGTCCAGTCGTCTATATTTCAAACTTCTGTCAGCTCACGACATAGCGCACACTGCTGAAGAGTCCTATAATAGGACGAGACACCTATCTAGTGCTCCCAGGTTTCCAACCTTTCTCCAACTGACGTCAGTCCATAATGAATACCAACTTCCAAATCAATAATGCTGAAGTATAAAGCGGTAAGTAATGCAACAGCTATGGAATAAAATTTGGAGATTACACAGATAATGAGTGCATAGGAGAAATATGGAAAAAATTAACATATGACCTCACACTAAAAGTCATCGCTCTGAGTTGCTACACTTCACAGAAGCATATAAAAGACGAATGAATGGAAGAGGAGTGATATCTGGGTAGACAAAATTGTGTAAGTGAATAAATGATTTGTAAATAAAGGTTAACGTGAATATCTAAGCTTTAGAGAATGTCAAGGAGTTGATACATCAGCGCCATTTTGAGCAGCTGTCAGCCATTTCATCAAGAGTTTTCAAACACTGATTTCTATCCTCTCGAGGACCCCAGCCATGCTGTCTACATCTCCCCACACAGCCCAGAACCACAGTTGAATACTTCATCAAGCGGTGTCATGTCACTGTTTGGCCACTCCAAACGCTCTTCCAATCTAATTTAACTTCTATTAAAATGACATGTTCAGGTAAGTGGTGAGTCAGCATACACAAAACATATTCACCCCAACTAAGCCGCTGGAGGTTTACAACCTCATAAATTGACTTTTCTGTCTTATCTGGTACCCATCGTCTGACCTCAACATTCCTCAGACAGAGATTTTACAGTAGGTAAGCAATGCTACGCAGACATCTGTGATCAAAACCTTGCAATCGTTTCATGTAATCTACTTGTAACGGCCATGTCTCACACCAATATAACATAACAGGATGGACTCCAGAGCAGTATGCCAAACTTTGAAGTGAAAGATTTTGTGAAAAATGTGACAAATGCACTGCCATACACTACAACGATTGTAATTCTTGTGAATTTAACTTCTCCTTAGTGATGTTTTCTTAAGAAGCATTTCGAGAGATATGATAAACCATTTTTCCTTAACATGCTTTTGGTCGATTCTTACTCATACTGCTGACTGTAGCACTTGGTAACATCAGTTTGAAACTGAGAGGATCTATCATTTTTTTGAGGTTGTCGATCCGCATGGCTGACGACTATTAACAGACAAGATATCTAGGATAGATCAAGCTTGTTACTCGCTGCCTGCAACCATCTAAAGTCGATTCATATCATTACATAATTGTTTGTAACTGATACATGGAATGTAACCATTGAGGTAATATTTTCTGTGCACACATAATCACTAGGGGGTCATTTACTGTATAACTTAATGACTGTAAAATCTGGTATTTTGCTTGACTAGTAGTGATTTTTCAATGAATGCAAAGTTTTTTTTATAAGATTACAGTAGATATTTAAATAAAATACAGGGTCATTCTAAACTTTCCTTAGTTATATGGAATAAGAAATCACCGAAGTCAAATAATTATATGCTACTAGAAGAAATAATTATTTGTCAGAAAATATATTGCAATTCGATCGCCGCATGACTTGTTTTTCCTGAAGCCATACAGACAGCCTGTTCTGGTCGTTATTTTGAATTCAGCGCATTGTTTAGTCTCTCCAGGATGATGCGGCATAATAGTTTGCTTGGTGTGGATAGGATGGAGCATGATTCGTGCTTGTTCTTCCAATGACCTAGATCTCCTTCTTTGGGAGTTTGACTAGTCAGCCTTTCTCCCAATCTGCAGGTAACTTTTCTTCCTTCCAAACCTTCAACAGTTGTGATGTGAGCGTGTTTGCTGTTGTCTCTGCGTCTGTTTTCAGTGCTTCTGGTGGAACTCGATTTCGTCCTGCTGCTTTCTCGGATTTCAGCAACTTTACGGCATTTAGGACTTCTGCTTTTGTCGGAGGGCTTGTGTTCACTAGTGATTTCGAGGTTGCTGGTGATATTTCTGGATAAGTTGCAGGTAATGGTAGATTCAAGAGTTTTTTGAAGTAGTCATCCAATCGCTTCCTTTGTTACTCCTCTTTGGTAACTATATTTGCTTCACTATCTCTCACTCGTTTCAACTGAGTTGTTCTCTTCCCAGATAGTAACCTGGTTATTTGATATAATGTCATCAGGTTTCTGTCTCCCTTACCTACAGCTTGTTCTGAGTAACTTGCAAGTGTGTCGAAGAATTGTCTTTTGTCTTTGCGTGCACTCTTCTTCATTTCTTTGTCCACAGTAGTGTTTCAGTTCCTCTTTTCGTTGTTCATCCCTACACTGCAGTGGTTCATCTTCTGTTTCATCATCACCATCTTCTTCTCCCTGCTCCATCAGCTTCCATGCATCCGTCGACATCCATTCTTCGTCTTCTTTCTTCTTACTTCATTACAAGATTATTTGCGGGAAAATATATTGCCAGATAAGCTTACTGCTTAAAAACGAATTCTTATTGGTTGTAATATTGAGAATAATTGTTAAAGATGTTTTTAACAATTCAGAAGAATGTCTGAAGAATACTGTGTACTGCAAAACTAGCGTTGTTTATTGCGATGGAGGTTTGTGGATCCCTTTCTTACGTTTACAGTTCCAGGGCAGAGATTATTTGATGTAATTGGTAAACATAACATCACCACTGTTCAGACAGAACAGGTCTAAAATGATTCTCTTTTACGCCGATATTCAGACTATGTAGTAAAGCAAAGCTCTTAATTCAACCTGCAAAATTTTTTAAGGGGGTCTATGGGTGAAGAAACACTGTCGAGCAGTTCCAACGCACAAAATGAACTACAATTCATAAGACGCAGATACACTTTCTATCTTAAGTATCCAGATCAGATTCTCAGTATAAAAACCTTTCAACAAAGGCCAAGTATTTCTATTCTGGATAACAAGGGGAAATTATAGGTATCAAACAGAAGTGGTTCTCGCACCTCAGTGGATAAAGTTTTGGCGTTGGAAACGATAGGTAGTAGATTCGAGTTTCATTGGAAACAATATCACTCTCCTGAGTGGGGGTGTGTCCAGCCGATGAGACCTAAATGGGAGGAACCGCGAGGTACAAGATAAAATTCATTAGTCAAATGTTTAGAAGGGCGTAATTCACAAATTTTTGGCCTGGACACATTGTCGTTTTGTTTCATTATCTTACGTGAATTGTTTACACACACGATTGTGGAGCAGATCCTTTTAAATGCTGTTTGTATGTATGAAGGTTATTTGCAGCTACACGAGATTTCACTGGACTTTTCCTCCTAATCATATACGATTTGTCAAGCATTATTTTTGTAGTGGTCATTTCCACGTAACTTTCAAAGAGTTCCAGTATTCATCCACACAGATTTCTTCAGGGATGTTGCTCGATATCTCCCACTCCATCTTCTTGGCTGACGTGAAGATGTCCCTTGTAATTTTGTCCTCCAGTTTCTATTCTGGGTGTTCAACTTGAACTGTGGTCTATCATCAACTTCCTTGAAGGCTTTCAACTTGGTTTGGAAGGTTCCTTGCACTAGATAGTGGTCTGGGCCTACATCTGCTCCTCTTCTTGACCTTGTGTCAAGTAGGCTGCGTCTCTGCTTTTTTGAGATTGAGACGAAGTCAATTTGACTTAAGTGTAGTGTGTCCATCTGGTGAAATCCATGTCGCTTTTTGGATATCCTTGTACTTGAACACACTGCCTCCAATCGCCAAATCGCTGAATGTGCAGAAGTCTGTCAAAGTTTCCCTAAGCGGTCAATATTTACGAAGGTATTTGACCAAGTCTTGACCAAACCACATGTTCTCTGATGCCTTCTTTATTTCAATGTTCCTATGCTATATGTACTTGCCTTTCGAGTTGTTTAATAATCAGTGTGATGTTTTATGATTGGTTTCGACCTGCTTGTGAAGAAGTTACATGAAGTTACACTTAAGAGACGATTAGATCAGAATTATTCTGTAATATACAATAATATATACAATTATCTGTTTACCTTCATCTTTCAAATGTCATCTACAGATGGTCCAGCTTTTTTGAATCCAATGAATGATTTATACTCCGGTGAATTAGGACAAATTGTAAATCTAGAATGTTCAGCAGACTCAAATCCTGAACCAAATGTATTCTGGTACTATATTGGACCTGAAGGACAAACTCTTCTTGAAGATTTGACAAGACAGGAACTTAATCAATATCAACATGATCATTTTTTACAAAAACGTTCATTGATAAACAAACAACAATCTAAGCATATTATGTGGAATAGTGAAACTGAACTTGTGGAATTTAATACAAGTGTTTTGAAATCTGCCATTTTTTTCTCATGGAAGAAAGGTAATACTTCAATAATTGTTACTTATTTTAATAACATTTTGACAGAAATAATTTTCAGTTTTAATGACTTGTTTTATTACTGTGAAGGTTTACAATAACGTTCAGAAAACAAGTTTTAATTGTGTGTAGGATAAAATAGGAGTCATCAATTTGCTTACTTTTCCACAGTGATTATCTATGTGGGAGGATAAAGAAGTAATGGAGGGTACTATTCAAAATATAGTAGATCTAATGAACCGTTTCTTATCAGAAATATACAAGAAAGTAAGTGAAAGCATGTCAACTGGCAAAAGCTGGAGTCCTTCCCAGTAACACTAGGTTTGAGATGGAAAATGGGGGGGGGGAAGCTGCATGCTCTCTTGAAAACATCTATTTAGAGAATAAAAATAATGGAATGTGCTAGGAGCTATCTTACCACCCGACTTTGAATCCACTTCCTCAGTGGACAACTTATTATTCGACGGTACGTAAAGGATAAACTAACCCCTTGGATCACCCCCATATACGTTTACCGATTCACCGGTTCTTGTGGAGCTGGTTACATAGACCACACTAACGGTGTTCTGTGTGAACATGTCTCCGAACACTTTTCTGCTTGACTGTCTACAGAAGATTATTAAGTGACTAACAGTTCTATTCTTAAGCATTTGGCTAATTCTGGTCACTCCGCTGCACCAGAATCTTTCTTCAAAGTCATTAATCAGGTCAAATCAAACATTTCGAGGGAGGTGAGAATTTGCCACTCAGATACAGTAGAAGCCTTAACAGTTCGGCGGTTTGGCTCTAATTTTTGCGTTTTTAAGCGATACATTCAGTCCCTGATTTCAACTTGACCATGTTCTTTGTATGACGATTCATTCGTTTTTTGTAATCCTGCGAACAATTTTTTGAGGACTCTGTGTAGGCCTTCTAGTCATAACCCCCTTACTACTTTATTGATAGTCTTCGATGATCTTCGTTCTATTGTATTCTCAACTCAGAGGATGATTCGCCGAAAAGAAAAGTGTTCTTGCTGAACTATCTTTTTTTAACTTGTATCTGTTGCAAGTAACTGTTGTTCCAGAACTAGTTATCCTGATGTTAATGATGAATAGTTGGTGACATTGGGATCCAGGACACGCCTTTTGTCCTATTTAAGATTCAAGCATCGACTGGATTTGTCTGCTAACTTTTTTCCAAACAAGATACATAACCAAGACAAATCGCTTTAAGTGCTAGAGTGTTATCTGATACACCACGGAGTCACGAGACACCAGCCAAATCCAGCCAGCTTAAGGATCGCAAATAGGACACAAAGTGCGTCTTGGATTCTAATGCTAATCACTGTCCATCAAAATCGAAGATGATTTGAAGGAAGAACATGCATTTCGACGAAAAGTCTCCTTTTGGCGATTGCCTTTTCAAAGCTATACAGTCGCATCTGACCGCATCAATATGCATATATCAGTTTATCTTCTATTGTGGAACCAGGTATATAAGTTGTTCGATGCGACTGTAATCCAAAGGGTTCAGGAACACTACCCTGCGTGGTTTCTAAAAAGTAACAATAGAGCAATGAGCAACGCTACTTTTAAACACATTGTGAACACGAATCACACTATCTGAAGAACCTTCTCGTTCAAAGTCATCTATAAAGTCAAAAAAACCTCCTAAACACTGTATGTCTTCATATTCTCAGGCATCGCCGAAGCTTTTTCCATCCATTTGGAGAAGCCTGAACTGTGTACACAAGAGAAGATTGTTCAACCCCTTCTCCTCTCATGATCTTAGTTTTCGGTCTCCCCTAACTCCCTCACCTTTTTCTTTTTCTTTCTTTTTTTTGACACTATTCACTTCTTAAATAATTTGTTAGTCATTCTTGTTGCTGTGTTCTACCTGATCACAATTCAGTTTCCAGACTTCTTGTTTAAACTTATTCAGTTCAGTATTCACTACTCACCAGTTTTCTGGGTTTTTGATTTAATGACAACTCATTTATTGATACTATTTGTGTTGCCAGCCATGCTTGACAAACCATTTTTAACTATCAAATCGTTACACTAGAAAAAAAGTGTATACAGTTGTGATTGTACAACTTTGAAAATGAAATCGCTTTAAGCGACTCTTCGCTGAAACACTTACTTGTTCTTTTTTCATATCTTGATGGGTATATTTCACACACTGAAAATTGAAAATACTGGCACTATCCAGGTGTCTACACGGTCAGTCATATTCTAATTGCAGCCGATCAGTTGGACGGAAATTCACAAGCTGTTACACTAAAATTGTTTGTGTTATTGTTTAGAGCAACAAAGTTACAGAGGTTAACAATTTAACAAGCAGTTGAAACTTACAGTATCTGGTGTTTTGTTTTTCTTATAGTTGGATAATTTGCATCTATGCGAATGCAGTAACGTTGAATTTTATATCCTAATCCGCAGTTACTCTCTGTCAATTCATTTTATAAGCTGTTTACATGATAAGCAAGTCGTTCATTCTCAAGTAACGAATAACATGATGTAGGTGCAGGGAAATATATAAATGACGAGTGTGTTGCATCTGAATAAAATTCAGTAATTACTCAGCTCAGTGGTACACGTGTATTACTACAGAAAAAAGGTTACTACCGTATCAGCTATCTAATGTTGTTGCTTGCATTATCTTGTCGTTTATAGGACCGAAATCGTCGATCTCTATTGGCATCTGAACTCCTACTAGGGTGCCTTGATAATGTCTGTGTTTCAGTTACATGCTTGTATTACAAGCAATAATATCAAAACTATACTCAAGAAGTGCATATCATTAATCGGTGATTACGCTAGGCGTTTGAAGCAATCTGTTCCGAGTTCAAGTCCTGATAGGAACAACATCATTCTATGCTAGTCACGTACAAGCAGCTGATGAGTGCCAAAAATAAGACGGAACACGCTTCCCGGATTCCATTGCTGATCACTACCCATCATCAATAGATAAACTGTCTGCCTAAATGATCAGACCATATGTTTTTGATTTCCCGGAGCTTATTTCAATCGTTTTAGAGAGTGTTATAATTATTTGAGAAAAAAATTGATAACTTTCGTTGACTTTCTAACTATGCTGAAGATGATCCATGAGACCTTTTCAGTGACATCATCCTCTTCAGCTGTACAATAGTATTTATTATAGTTAGCACGCATAAATATAGCAACATCTTTTTTCATCAATAAATAGTTGGCAACGGCACACAGTTCCAGAAGATCAATTTGCGCCAGTCAACAAAGCATAACGTAGTTTTTCAAATAGTGTGAAGAAATGTTCAGTTTTGCATTGCTAAATGTCTGTTAATACAATAATCAAGACTGAAGTTGTCAGTTCCTGTCATTATTCACCTTTTAATTCTGAAATTTTTCAATTCCTAAGTCTCACTAATCCCCCACTTTTTATATCATTGTTAAGTTAACAATTTCCAATGATGGATCGTGGCTAGCAGTGGAATCCAGGATGCGCATTTCGTCCTATTAGGGACTCGTCAGCTAAATGCACCTGCCTCCCAGTGGGTGATGTTGTTCCCACCGGGATTTGGACCCGGGAGCGATCGCTTCAAACCCTAGCGCGTCATTCACCACACCACTATTTAGCTCAGTTACAATTACTCAGACCCTTCTTTACTGACAACTGTTTATTTGCTATATTATGGATTATTTACTTGTTGATTTCAAATACTCTCATGTTCCTTACATAATTTCCATCTTTTGTATGATTTTCACTATCAACAATTATAGATGAACAAATACTGACATATTTAATGCACACTGACTATAGTTAAATGTAACTGTACACAGCTCCAGACGATAATACCGCCGAAAACAAGTTTGTTCACTCTGAAGTCTCTATTTCATTATGACTTATTACGAATTCCATATAAGATTCGCTTATCTGCTATATAACAAACATTGATACAGTATTATTCACTTTATGACATTTCGAGCATGAATTACTACTGATAATCATATCAATGTCATCACACTACCTTCGACATTTGATTTTCGTAGTTATATCACCTGGTAATAAAATTCACCATACTCCTAGAATAGATATTGCGTCATTTCTATTGCATATGTTGACTGAGTGTTGATTCCATGAACAAAGATTCAGTAATCAATCACCTCTTTCCCTATCTAATTATACTGTACTCAGGTACAGTGGTTTTATCCCAACCATCCAATTGTATGGTTGTGTGTTAGTTCATGCCTTACTCGGGTCTGTCATTTTACATTTAGCTAAATTCCTGTGTTTGGCTATTCCAACTGACCTTGACCGGTTAGTTTCATCTATGTACTTGACCTTGCAGTCATTATATAGAACTTAATAGATTAAATTATTTGAAACAGTTAGTCCCTTTTATGAATTTTGATAGCGTAATTAGAAGATGAAGTTTATCTGAACAATGTCCTGTATTTGCGCAATATACATTTCGAACAATCTGATCACACATTTACTTGTCAAGTCAATATATATTAAACCGAGGACTGGGCGGAGACAAATACAACAATTAACACAATAGGGGATTAAAATTGAGAAAGATGAGGACAAACAGGAAGTCACATAGTTGATCCTAATCTTGGTAAGAAAACAAACTCAACCAAGCTAGGTGTAGTGTATTGATCTCACCGCTAAAGTTCCTCTATACAAGAGATATGTTAATGACATCATAGTGATTTGTGAGACGCATGAGGGTATGGCTTGTCTATTAAATAGACTTAATGCCGTACAAACGCAGATCAGTCTGACATGTGAGAAAGAGAATAGTAATCAACTGCCATTCATAGATATACTCCCCAGTCGACGAGAAGATGGTTCAATAAGACTGCCAGTTTACACAAAGCCTACATGGAGAGGACAATACCTGAATTTCCACAGATTTTGTCCAATTCAATACAAGCGAGGTCTAGTAAAATGCCTGTTTAATAGGATCTATCATATTAGTACACCAGTTGCGATGGATGATGACATCAAATTGCTGACCAAAGCGCTTATGGAAAATGGATATCCAACAAGGTTTATAAACCGTTGAAGAGGTCAAGTAGCACAAAAGCCAACTGTATACACGGTTCCTGAGAAAAGCGTACTTTCCACTTTACCATTCTGGAGGAAGTTGAATAGTATCATTATGAGACTAACATCAACCATTAGGAAAGCATATTACGCAGCTAGTCTTATCATTACCGAATACAACAAAACTAGCTTCATCATAAACCTAAACACCGCATCATTGATTATATCACATCCAACTATGGTTGTCAGTTTAAATGTATGTGTGTGCGTGTGTGGTCACACATATATAGGGAGGAGTGATCAAGAGATGCAGTTGAGGGTGGGAGAACATCCACCTAAATGACTTCAAAAATAAATGGAGTGTGAAACAGTGATAAACGCTGATGGGAGACGACCCACTTCATCTATAGCTAAACATATCATAGGAGCAGATCACAGTGTTAATGTCCAAACAGCTTTCAAAAATTTGATATAGAAACAGTCAGTGACGTATTCTGAGATTTGTGGAAGCCATAGCCACACACAAATTGAAACCACCTTTATGTGTACAAAACAGTTTGTTCTTACACTACACCTATCTTGGTTGAGTTTGTTTTCTTACCAAGATTAGGATCAACTATGTGACTTCCTGTTTGTCCTCATCTTTCTCAATTTTAATCCCCTATTGTGTTAATTGTTGTATTTGTCCCTCCCCAGTCCTCGGTTTAATATATATTGACTTGACAAGTAATTGTGTGATCAGATTGTTCGAAATGTATATTGCGCAAATACAGGACATTGTTCAGATAAACTTCATCTTCTAATTACGCCATCAAGATTAGATTATCTTGCTTAATTGATTCTACTGAATCCTTAACCCTACCAGTAAGACTTATCTCTGAGTGAGCATGCAGGTTTAAATGCCATCCACTTTCCAGCTTTGTTGAGAATCCTACGTAAAGTTGCTGATGTGACTCCCTTACAGGGAAGCACAATGGAGGCTCTGAACTCCTTTTTATTCACGTTATCGTTCTTATTCATACTCTTGATATCTTTATTACTTCGTTTCTTATGTGTTTTCACAAATTTTTTTATAAACTACAGAGGATACTTATTAACTATCAGTGCTTCTTTTGTGTGTTTCATTTCCTCGTTTAGGCCGTTGCACTGATTAGTTAGTTTTCTAGCTCTATAACTTTGACATTTGACTAAACCTGCCTTAACTGACATTGGATGGATAATTTATGTTCGAAACGTCATGGAGTAAATAATACTGTATCACTCACTGTGTGTTATAAATTAAAGGCATCTGTGTTGCAGCCCATATACCGATTAATTCGATCTAATATAGCAATCTATGTGGAAGTTAAAACGTCATAAAAAAACAACTTTTACTCGTTTCACAAAGGATTATTCTACAGATTCATTGACGTAGCACTTTAGACTTTGTGGTTTGAAGCAATGTAACCTGGGTAAAAGTCACATTGGAAAGACTATCACTCACTGGAATTCATATGCATCCAGCCAATGTGTCCAGAAATGATGAAGCGTGCATCATTTATTCGTCTGCTAAACACCAATAGTCAACTTATATTATAATTCGATCCAATGTCTGTGATTCCCAATCACTGAACATTTAATTCTAAAAAGATTGGAAAGAGGATTTTAAGCCAAACATTTACGATAAGCAAATTAAAAGTGAGTAGTGAAAGGTTTAGCAAGTTGTCAATCAATTTTTGTTATTGAAATACTATTGACAAGTGTAAATTTTGGAAATAAAAAATTCTTCAATCCCATTTATTATATATTTCATTTTGCCTTACTTTTCAGTTATTAACTTCTAAAGCTAAACATGTTTCACATCAACTACACTTATTAAGTCATGCAAATTTTGGTTTTTATGCATGTATTGCTCAAAGTCCTGGTTATCCAGCTATATATCGTGCAATCTACGTCGGACAGGCAGGTAAATTGATTTTGTAATTAATAAGTATCTTATCATACTGATGGTAATGAAAGTAGTCATTAGTAGTGTTTCTGGTTCCTAATTTTCATTGTCTTGAATCAGTGCGATAGCATGTACCTCTATATACTATATATTTCTGTAATTAGGCCCAAATAATCCAATTCAGGTTTCTAAGATCAGTTTGTATGTAGGTAAACGTTTCCTTGTTAAGTTTTTCTGCGTTTTGGGTAGGATGACATCGAAGTGTTATAAGCTAGAGAAGTATTTTCTTCTTTCTGCAGAGATGCATCACGTTTATAGTGAATAATTCCAAACAGTAATGTCAACAAAGTGATGTATTGAAGCTGTTGACATGAAACAATGGTCTTACTAAGGTTACATTTGATAATTATTATTATATTATTATTTGTCAGTTGGGTTCCTAATGGAACATAGAGATTCAGTAGCGCTCTGTTCTCTGAAATCTTTTGAACCTGGTTCTACGACATCCCAGAAGCTCACATTTCTTCCTTGCACGATCTCCTCCATGTCACTCTCACCTCGGACGCCCAACTCGTCGTTTTCCATCTGGGTTCCACTCGAGGGCCTGGCCTGACGTGTGATGTCCCCAGTCGGTCTTCTCATTGTATGCACAATCCATCTCCACTTTCTTCCAATGCATATTTGTTGAGCGATGGGTTCTTGCCTAGTTGGTTCGTTGCCACGCCACAGTTCTTTGTTGTTTACTCTGTCTGGCCATCTCAGCTTCAGTAACGAGCCAACCTAGGCAGTTGTTTATGAATATTTGTGGTTTGTTGGAAGTGATTTTCGTAACGCGCCAAGTCTCTCAACCATATAGCAACACTGACTTGACTGAATCGGTGTTAAAAATCCGGATATTATTCACGCCTTATACTGAGTGCAGTGCGAAAGAGCTCCACACTGGTTTCAGGTTACTCAATGCCTGTCTTGCTGTCTTTCCAATCCTGGCTGGCTTTGACATCCTCGTCTGTGCCATCTGTAGTTGAAACAGTGCTGCCTAGGTGGGTAGATGAAACAGGCTACTTCCTTCAAGTTTCTCCTATTGATGGTGATTGGAGCTTGTTGTTGTTGGTGGTGCGGTATCTTCATCACCTCTGTCTTCTCTACATTCACTTGAAGTCTCGTCTTCGCTGCCCTGCCTCTTCTATCAACTTGCTACTTTTCGCCTGTAGATCTTCAAGTTTGTGTGACATCAGACACAAGTCATTGGTAAAACCCAAATCTTCTAGGTTCTTTTCCGCAGTCCAGAGTATCCCCCTCTTCTCACAGCTCCCCACTGTTTGCTGCAAGATCCAGTCCAGTCGACCACAATCAGAAATATCATGGTGGATAGTAGGCAACCTTGTTTCACTCCTGTTTTCACTTCGAAAGCACCACACATTTGGTAATTACCACCATCTAATAGTTGATTTTAGTTCTGTGTCAGTATTTATCATTGGCTAAGATTAGTTGGGAAGGAACTGAAAACCTGAGAACATTGAACAGATGCTTACGCATAATATAAAAATCCTTACCAGTGTGTGCCCATGACCCCTCCAGGGATCAAAGCTGAAACTATCCGGCTTAGCGACGATCAAGTTGCAACTGAGTCAGAACCTAACAGTGTATAACACTTGGTTAGTTTGAATACAGAAAAAACCGCTTCGAAGTACATCATGATAGATGAGATTCATATCATTCTTGAGTACAGAGTTTCTCAATAGATTAAATCCATCACATGATATAACAGTGATCGAAATAGGTATATGCAGTAACTCACGTCAGCAGTCTGTACAATATATATAGACTATATTTATATAAGTAGGCTTTCTTTCATTACAATCTGATTTTCTGTCAAGACATACCAAATCCAACAATTTTTTTTACCTCTTTTCATTATTCATACAGAATCACCAAAAGTTGTAAAGGTTGATCAATGGATTGGATATGAAGATAATTCAGCAAAATTATTCTGTTTAGTATATAGTATCCCTAGACCAACGGTTCATCAAATAATTTGGTCAAAAAACGGAATTGTTATTAAACCAGATAAAAGGTTAGTAAACAGTTTTTATTTTGGATAAAAGTTTTGTTTTAGAGAATTAGAATCATGGCGAAAAGTTTTGAATAGTTACAAATAATAATCATTTCACTTCGAATAACATAATACAATCGAAAATTCTGATATTTATCATTTAAGTCGTAATATATATCGCATCTCTGTAATTTTAATAACAGCACTATATCAAGTTATAAAATTAAACGTTCGACTGTTATCAAGTAATCATCTGGGCTGAAGTTAAAGAGAAGAATAGGAAAGTATACTTGAGCCTGGTGGTGATAGCTTATTTAACCGGTACGAAAATCTGCTATTTGCGCTAACTGTTTCAGCAAAAACAATATGACGCATTGTTGTGCATTTATAGCCTTATTACCACCTTTCTAATATTGCTAACTTACAAAAAGGTTGATTGAAAGGATTTTTACAAATCCTCGAGAGTACTCAATACAATTTGAAGACATAGTTTAAAAATTAAAAAAAGAATGAGTTGAAGGGAAGAAGGAAAATGAAGGGGTTGGTCAAAACCCTTTGATAGACCAACGTCCTATCACTCCGGCATAATTTTTTGTTCCTGTCTCTCATTTGTGTTTAATGATATACGGAAAACATAAGGAATAAATAAGATTGTAACTAAGAAAAATGGTAGTTTCAAGCAAAATAAACAACTTCAAAGTTAGAAGTGGTTTACCAATGTACACTAACCACCTTAGAGCTTACAAAAATTGATATCAATCTGATATGAAGACAGATTTTATGTGTGGATCAACTGGTTAAAATCCAGTCTCTTCTAGGAAAACAATCTTGAACTATAGGAAGATACTTCTGAGCAATGTGGATATTTGAGAAGCCATCTGCTCTAATTTTAAAACTTTACTAGCCAAGATGGTTGATATGTTACTCAATGAAAACTCTAAGCTAATTGAACACTGTTTACATGACACTACATCGAAGCTCAGTTTCCTAAAAATGTACTGCTTTTCTTTAGAGAAACAGCAATTGTTTATGAATCTGGTACAAAAAGCAGTTCGTGATGTTGTACAGAGTAAAACCAGATTGAGATTATCCTACAACATGATGATAAAATAATATATCTTTACAATGAGTAAGGAAGCTGTCGAACAGCTATACCTAAATCCCTTTCACGAACTACTGCTTACACTGCAAAAGTATACATAAATATCTCAGAATGTACTAACTTAGTCAACAACGTGGTCTATAACTAGGTGGAAAGAAAATGTCAGATCTAATAATTCGCCTTAAAATGTTATTTACACAATAAATTGTCCTTAGCGAATCTAAGCGTTTTCATAAACCAGTTGTAAACTTAAAAATTCACCCTTGAATTGAGTTTGTATGTTCAAGAAAACTCGACTGCCTTCTGCTTCAACGTCATAGAAACCGTTTACACTTTATAAATATTTCTCATCTACATACTCAATTTAATATTGATGATAGGCAGTCGCTACCAGTTGAATCGAAGATATATGTTTCGCCCTATTTGGGATTCATCGGCTGAGTGTACCGACTTCCACTTAAAACAACAGGAAATTGCAAGCAACAACATAAAAAACTATACCTATCATGTGAGGAGTAGCTAGTGTGATTTGATACACTAGTTAGTAATGCTCTAGTGTCTGGATTGACTGATCCTGTTCTTCATTCTTATTAGGGTGTAGATACATCCAGCTGACGAGTCCCAAACAAGACGAAATGCACTTGCCAGTTTTTACAGCTTACCATCATCCATCATTACTGTATACTCATTGTTTATAAAATACTACTGTTGCCTATTTGTTACCTGAAATTGTTCAAGTACTAATAATTTGGTAGATAAACTAATAATTTAAACATTCCATTTACGGATGTCATAGCTCTATGAAAGTGTATTACTTGTCTTCATGGATTACATCACTTTCTAAAGCATATTCTTATGCAAAACCGATAGTAATTCAACATAGTTAGTACTTTTTTGACCAAACAAGACTGATTTCAATAGGTTGCCATTTATGCTTACTTAATCATAACAAGTATATAAGAAAATTTTATGAAGTTTGATAATAATTCATGCAGATAATCCACTTTCTTTTTGTAAATCCAATATTGTCTTATTTTCATTCTATATAACATAGATTGTCTGAAGTGTGAAATTCTTGTTTCGTAATAAATATTCAGTGTTTCTAATATTCGACCCATAGTATAGCTAAGGAAAAAAATTGTTTGCAAGAATGATCGCTGGTTTTCTTTTACACCTGTTCATATACCTAATTTTTAACTTATAATCAATAATATTTCCAGGTATTCTGTTGCAAAAGAGTCACATTATCAACGAAATTCTTTCACTGTCATTATAACATGACTGTATTGTTCTACAGGCTTCTTAGTCTTTTCTTACTGATAAGGACTATTATCTCTTTGGGGATTTAGTTAATACTGTCATTAATTGCCTACAATGCATTATAATATTATTATTATTATTATTGGTCCCTTGGGTTCCTAGTGGAACATAGGGCTTCACTAGCACGTCTCCAGTGACCTCTGTTCTCTGAGATCTTTTGAACCTGGTTCCACGACAGCCCACAACCTCTCATTTCCTCCTCGCATGACCTCCTCCATGTCACCCTCGGATGTCCAACTCGTCGCTTCCCATGGGGATTCCACTCGAGGGCCTGACGCGTGATGTCCTCCGTCGGCCTTCTCAGTGCATGGCCAATCCATCTCCACTTCTTCCTGCATATTTGTTGCGTGATAGGTTCTTGGTTGGTTCGTTCCCAGAGTTCCTTGTTGCTTATTTTTTCTGGCCATCTGATCTTCAGCAGCGAGCGTAAGCAGTTGTTGATGAATGTCTGTAGTTTATTGGAAATGCCTTTCGTGACGCGCCAAGTCTCTGAGCCATACAAGAGCACTGACTTGACGTTGGTGTTGAAAATCCATATCTTGTTCCGCATGCTGAGGCATTATAATATACTACTAGTTAATATGAGTAGTTGTGAACCATTCATATAGATCATTATTGCAAGATCCAGGTGGTTTAATCCCCGAACAACCAATTTGTTGGTTTCCGGCTAGGCTCACATTATATGTACTGGGATTCATTCAGGTCATGAAACCTAAATGTTCATAGCTGAATCAATCCGGGTACTCCACTGGTGAGTTTACTTAAAAGTGAACACAATGGCTATTTGGTGGTTAAATCAAGATCTAGTTAGCGAGGATTGTTGATGCTTATCAGTGGCATTACAAAATCATGTGTAGCCTCATGATCACTATCTGTGATGGTATCAAGCAGATCTCGTGGTGACATTTCTCACCACAAACTGTGTATCATCACTTGATTCTAGCTCACTCTGTGTTATAAATATGTCAACATAAGATATATTGGTGCTAATGGAACTGAAAATATTATTTCAAAATGACTTAACCTAGTGGGAAGTTCATTTGAACGACGGGAAAGAATTTCATAGTAAATTTCAATATCTTTGGTAGTATCACAATAAAAAAAGGTTCTGCTTCATTGAGTCAAGTAGTTGCGTCACTAAAGATATCTAAAATGACTAATCCGTTTATCTGTGTCGAATTATTTTGATAAATGCAATCATTTTTCCCAACAGCTGGATGACGTAAGAATATAAACCTGAATACCACCTATACTATATCAGCTAACTACATACTTCCAACTAGATTTGAATTCAAGTGATTTCCAGAGAATTAGTCTGTAACTTTCCTTAACCAGGAATAGTTCATTTATTCAAAACATTCAAACTCCAATGACTGTTTAATGTAAACAAATCTATATATTACTTTTAATTATCTCCGTAATTTTCTGTGAAACCGACATCATTAGTAAATCTTTTGGAGTTTCGAACTACAAATTTCCTGATAAAAATGAGTTTCTTAAATACTACAGATCTGGTTAAAGTACCTTCCGAAAGAAAAATGTTACAATTTCTATATACTATTAGCCGATTGTAAAAGGATTTATTTAGCCTGTGTTGATCACTTGACTAAATAGTTTCGTAAACATTGAAGGTCAAGTATTGATGGTGACATGTGATCTAGATTATACTTATATAGATCTCAGTAAATAGTGTCCCAGCTTCTTCTTTGGTATGCTCTCATTAAGGCCTAAAAGGTAATGCTGGGTAACGACCAAAAGAATTGAACCAATGAAGTAAAAAGCAAGTTTTCGTATCGTAAACCTCTATAAATATTACATAACTTTCTTTCTTATGCGAAGCATTTGAAATCTCATAGAAATCTATTCTAGGATGTTACGTTCATTCTACTATATATGCCTGAATGTACAAATAAGTGAATGAGTTTTTCGGAAAAAAACTTTCTTTACCGAAATCATCTGTTCTTCTTTCGACTTCAAATTTTGTCAATGACAGGAAGAAAACTAAACAAATGACATTTAATTGAAGAAAACCTTTTTTTGCGAAACATGTTTAGGTGTTGTACATGTATAGGAATGACTCCAAAAAAATACTTATTCACCAGTAGCTCTCTTCACTGAAATGATTAATTGTCAAAGTTTCTACTGTATTCAGGTAGAAAGTTTGTATTTTCTTAAGAATGTTTGATTACTATATATAATTATTCTTATATCACATACCGTCGTTGATTAGACCGAACTGATCGGTCCCTGTTGGCATATGGGATCCTGTGCGGACGCCTCGATATTATCTGTGCCCTTATGATAGTAATGATGGATCGTGGCAAGTAGTGGAGTGCATTCACTCCTATTTAGGACTCGTCAGTTGGATGTAACTGCCTCCCATTGAGTGATTTTGTTCCCACTAGGATTCAGACTCGACAGCTATCGCTTCAAACACCAGAGCGTTATGCACTACACCACCGAGCCACGATAGCCACTTCTTGTGCGACGGGCATAATTTTTAGTATATACAATTGTTTTTATATCATATCGTCGTTGATCAGACCGAATTGATCGATCTCTATTGGCATATGTGATTCCGTCGCACAGCAATTGGCTA